CCTATTAAGAGCAAAGGAAGAGTGCGGATCAACAAGAACTTGGGAAAGTACATGTGTGTTTACTATATTATGATCACGTAATCCTGATGTACTGAAGGTTAAGTTCCATGTTTTTTGGGGCATAGGTTTCATATCTGGCTTGTCCGTACTTCTGTGTGCTTTTCTTGTTTCTTGTACAGTTGCCACATTTGACAAAAGTGTCCGTTTCTTTTTCAATATATCTGTGCCGTTATTTTTTGAGTGATCACGAATATGAGAGCTACAAGGATCATGTGATCCGGTGTCTGTTGGTGTTTATTTCATATTCGACGTAAAAAGAATACACCGAAAAAAAAATGAATTGTACAAAAGCACCAAAAAAAGTACGCCGAATTTCGAAAAAATAAAAACGGAAAACGCGGAACCCTAGTTATCGAATAGAATTTGCCCTGGTATTGTTACACTGACAGCTTGAACAACGCGGATTAAATTAGTAAATGCCAGTAACTGACTTAACTAACTAACTTTTTTTTTTCATCCTTGACATGGCCGTAGCTGGCAGTTTGTTCCCGGAAATAGGTTTTGTTTTTCTCGAACACTATTGTTCAGGGTTTTTAAAAGCCTTCGTTAAAACACCCGGCGTAATCATAAAACATTTCCCCGGGGGTAGCCATATTTGAGCGCTCCGAAACGCATCTTACGTAATAAACATTGCGAGAACTCGTTAACGCCGAAATATCGCGATATTGACAGTTCCCATCTGTCCTAACCAGTCTGTGTCATTTGTTTTGTTTACTTCTGTATATTTGTCCGATGGAACGCTACAACAACCAAGGGCATGTTCATAGCGTTGAGACGCTCGCCGCGAGTTCTTTGCAGTGATTCTCTGATAATCCACGAGGTGGCAATTAGGTCGCTGGAAATCGCTGCTAATCAGTCGAGTGGAAGCATGTCGTGCTCCGCCGCATCGATCAAATTGACTGGAAACTAGGGGAGAGCCGCGTTGCTTAGAGCTTGGCGATGCTCGCGTTCAAGCTAAGTCTACCGACGTCGAGCGATGCCGCATTACGAAAGGGCTGGCGTTTCGTAACAGGTCGGGAAGAATTTACGGTGATATGAACATAATATGTCTGGCGGAGTCGAAACATGAACATGTTAGAGCAGAAGCTGTTTTTGAAATGCTCGCCTCTGCTTTTAATGAACTCCCAGGGTGGAATAAGCGCCCGCTCTGTCCTGGAAAATTAACCTGAATATAAAAAAGGTCTCAATTGTCTTAGCATCAATTTAGTTTGCTTTGTTAAGACATGGCTCTCAACAAGTATTTGTGCTGCATCTGATTAAATCATCTGCGTAGCGGGAGATGTAGTCCCGTTGTTGGCTATTGTAATTTACCTCTTCTTTTAATGACACACTATGGAAGGAATGTTTTCTTTTTAATAACATTTTTAGGGCGCAGCTATTAGGCGCCCGTTTCCGGCGTAAGCGCCGTCGCCGTTGCCGTCGGCGTAACCGCTCGTTGCATTATGGGACCTCTTCCATAATGACGTCATACGTGACGTCACGTGTGACGTCACGAGGGTCACGAGTGACGTCACCTTCCTGACGTCACACGGCGTCTAAATTTGGCGGAAAAATTTTCCGCTAAATTTAGCGAGGAACTTTTCCCGCTTAATTTAGCGGAAAATGTTTCCACTAGGTTTGCCGGGGAAATTTTTCCACCACATTTAGCGGAAAATTTTTTAGCCAAACTTAGTGGGGAAAATTAGCGCCAAATTTAGCAAGAACATTTACCTCTAAATTTAGCAAGAAAATTTTTCCGCTAAATGTCGCGAAAATATTGCCCACCAAAAAATGGCGGAAAGATTTTGTTGCTAAATTGGGGAGAGGGGGGGAATTTTTTTGCTAAGTATGGCGGGAAAATTTCCCCGGTGAATTTTTCCAACATATTTAGCAGAAACAATTGCCCGCCAAATTAAGCGGGCAATTTTTTTTAATAAATTTAGCGGGGAAATTTTTTTTGACACATTTAGCGGGGATAACTTGCCTGGAAATCGTCCCAGAATTTCCCCGTGAATTCAACCCGTACCCTTTCCTCCTCCTCCTCAAGAGCTGTGCTCTAATTCGGCATTACAGAGAATCGTAAACGTCTTTCATTTTTTTTAAGTTTTATTAGCCGTTCAAACCTAATTTGTTGCACGACCTGTAAGTATAAGTCAGATAATATGTCTATCTTAAAGTAAGTAGCTCAAGGGTAGAACAAAGCTATTGGAAAAAAAAATATATGAATGTAATTTTGAAAGATATTGTCATTTGATGCCGACGACTATGGCAGGAAACGTCCTCATATGTGTTGAATTTACGCACGCAAAAAGTGCTCTCACCAAATCATTTTACCTCGAACAACGCTGGAGAAAGTGTTTATGCATTGTTGCTGCTACCCTTTTCATGTCTTGTAGCTATAAAAAATTAAAAAAAAAAAAACACTGCCTCCACCAGCTACTCTTGACATTTTACGCCACGATATATCGTTATATTTAAGTAGGGTGGTGATTTGGGCCAGTTCATCTTGTCGTGATATTTGTTTTCGGCTCATAAACAACATTCTGTAAACACACAAATACCCAGTCTTGTACACGTTACTAAAAAGAAGTAATCGATTACAATTACTATTGCTCTTGGCTAAAAAGTATTCGATTAATTACTTGATTACTCGACAGCAAAAGTAATTGGACATTACTTAAAGAAGTAATCGTTACTTTTCCGATTACTTTATTGTGTGAAGACACATCTTTAGCGCTCATAACAATGAACTACTTTCAACCTATATTTCACATTTGCACACAAGTATTGAAGAAAAACTGGCTCCCTCTTCGTGGTCGTTGCACCTTCACAGTGCGGACACAAGCATAGAATTTGTTTGAAGACGTTTAATGATTTGGGCGTTCGCCTGTGTGTGTGTGTGGGGGGGGGGGGGGGAGCGGAGGGGGTTCTAGATACTGTTAAGCTTGAGCAAGGGTTGTTGCTCAAAGTTTGCGTCACTCATTTTATTATTCACATCTGGATGAACTCGCATGTTATACAAAAGAGCAGCAGCTCCAGGATTAGAAACGGACCATGTGAAGTATCCATTAGCGGAAGAGATCGCCCCGACCACTTCTCTACTCGACACATTGCTTGTCACAAAGACCACGTAGGGGAATTGGGGAAATATTTCAACTGCCTTTGTTATATTTTGCATCCGCTTTACGCATTCTTCGGTTCTGGTTCTCCTACGGGCTGCGAGTAGGTGCCCTAAGCAAAATTTTTCTTTCATTTTTTTTTTATTTCTGTGTGTGTGTGCGTGAGGGCGCTAGTTTGAACGAAGGACTCACAGAGCTACATTCTGCTTCCTCAAACTTCGCCCTGAATGGCCTATGTCACGCACTGTGGCCTGCCTGGGGCTTCCCACTCCCCACTCCCAGCTCGAAAAAAAAAAACAAAAAAAAAATGGACATTCCACAGAAACTGTACATAGAAAGAGATTGACCTCGCTTCCTACAGCTCCGCAAAAATCTTTCTTTTTTCCGTCCGAGAAACAAAAGCAAATTTTTTTTTTTTGTCATTTTATTAAAAAAAAAAAAGGCGTGTGCCCGGGGCGGAGAGGCGGGGGGGGGGCGTGGACAAATTGTAACCATTACAAGTAATTTTATTACTTCAAAAAGTAATCAGATTAATGTTGTGATAACTGCCTAATAAAAGTAATCCACTGATTACAAAATTACTGCAAAAAGTAATCGATTACAAGTAATTTGATTGCTTGTAATGCGTACGGTACAAGTCTGCAAATACCTGACGCTTGCTATTTTTTGGTTAACAAACCGTCAGCAAAACGTAACCATTTCTTGGTGGATGTGGTATAAGGTATGAATTATGGTAGAAAATATGCTGTTGTGCATCTTTCAAAATATTGAATATAATAAATACATAATTGTACACTTTTGTGAACTTGTTTATAGTGAGCGCTTGCACGTGTGTACGATCGAAACGCATTTCAAAGAGTCCAGAGCCAGTTTCATCTCCTGGATCGCTTTTTGGCGCTCAGTTCTTTTTATTTTTAATTCACTACATTTGCGCTACATTCATATATTAGTTCACGGAGGCAAACATTAGGAAAGAGGGTGCAAACCGATAGGTGATATAGCCAGTGCTTGACGTATCATAACCTAGGATAGCAGTAACGCAGCATGTAATAAATAAAGATCTGCCACGTAAATAGAAAATAAAACAAAGAGGGAGATTTCATCATAAGCTCTTCACTTCCCTTGTTTACTCGGTTTATTTGTTGCCAAATAAACAAGGAAAATCTAATTCACACCGATGACTTAAAAATAAGATATTATCTTAACGTGATACTCCAGCCTGGATTACATGTCATTCGTCTCTTCCGCTAAAATCCTCCATCAAATTGCGACCAGTTTGGCGCTTGTAGGATCCGTTTTAAAACACAAACAATGTATTGCATTAGAAACAATTTAGAGTCGTAAAAAAGTTGTCTAAAGTGTAAATATGAAGGTATTGCGCAAAAGACGTCTAATGTATGAAGTTTGTTTTGTTTTTTTAGTTTTTGCAAGTGAATAGTACTCAAGACAATGCACACTCGCGGCTGTTTTTAACGAATTTAGATTGCTAGCTAAACTTCGTTGAACATTCATCGTCACGCGCAACTCAGGCCACAAGTGCAACAATACAGCTTTGCGAAAGTGTCGACTTAAACAACCAATCGATCAGCAAACGCACAACCCAGAGTTATACCTCTGCTAGAGTGTCTCAGCAAACTATCTGCAAAAATATGAAGCACTGTGCAGTGCCTAGCAAACTTCAGATAGCTTCGCACCACAGCCGCAAGCGATCACAGGAGATGTGCAGGATCGGGACTCCTTTTACAAAGACCGTGAGCTCCGGCTGAGGGCCGGGTACAAAGCCTCTCACGAGGAGGCGGCGTCTATATTCGTCGCAACCAGCACGTTGGTTGTTCCACTTACTACGTCGATAATCTGCTGCAAGGTGAGACCGAAGCTGAGGATGAGCGGCTCGGACTCGTTGAAGACCGGGCGCTCGAGCGTGTTGTAGTTGGCCAGAAGATCGCCGAGGAGCCGGCGTTCGTGGGCACCTTGCTCCGTATCTATAAAACAAGAGAGGACAAACAGAGGGTCATATATACATATCCAGAGTATGATGCAGATCAGCAAATTATAATCCAAACTGTAAAAAAAAACGGCGTTTGAGTTTTTTTAGTTTTTCTATTTTATTTCCCCTTTGTCCAACAATCGTTATGGGGGAGTGGCTGGCCCGTCGCACAATTTTTCAGTTATACTTCGTTCGACAAACCGACGAGATGCTATCAGAGGAAATATATGGTGTCACTTTGTTTTTGCATTTGATACCTAAAACACGCTACGATAGGAGATCTCCACTTGTTTTCGTTAATTCTGGTATACCATTAGTGTTTCTCATATATATCAATGATTTGCCATGTTCCATTTCCTTTTTGCATTAGTTTATTTGCTGATTATTGTCTTATTTACGGAGAAGTTGCTAACACTTTGGATACTCAGAATTTACACGAAGATATTAACGCATTCTCTAACTTGTGGGACCAGTAAGGGATAAAACTTAACACGACTAAATGCAAAGCCATCAGAGTATATGGTGTCAATCTAATATTCCTCCATCTTATTTTCTTGAAAACATCACCTTACCTTCCTTGTCTTTATAAAAATACTTTGGTGTTCATATATCTCCAGATATCTCCTAATTGATACATGTTGATGACACAGCACGCTAACCGCATGCTGTGTTATTTTAAACGAAATTTATTTTTTGCTCCTTTTTCTCTGGAAGTAACTCTGTATAAAACACTTGTTCGCAATAAATTACAATTTGCTTCTGCTATCTGGAAGCGTGGTCATTACAAACTAAATAATAATCTAGAATCAGCATAAAAGCGTTTTGCTTGTTTTATTCTTAACACATATCATCAAACCACCAGTATAAGCTCTTTGAATGCCACTCTATCAAGGCCTAATCTTGCTTTACGCCCCAAAAACAGCTCGCTTGTGTTTCTTTCATAACATATGCCATACTAATCTATTACTTCAAGATCGATTGCTGAAACATCCGTTTTTTTATTCTTCACGGTTGGATCATCTATATTAGATAGGCATTCCAAAATAAAGCACAAATAGATTTCAAGGGTCGCTTCTCCCAATAAGTTCTGTGGACTAAAACCATCTTCCCACACCGATAGCCACAATTGCCATTTGTCATCTATTTTAAACTGCCGTAAATATTATAAACCGTTCCGACTGATTATCAAAGTGTACTGACCCCCACTCCGTTCTGTAATTTTGAAGGCCAGAGAGAATTTAAAATAAAATATAAATAAATTTTATATATATATATATAACTGAGAAAAAAGCCCTAATGAAAACAGCAACAACGGACGATTTAATCTTCGACGTTTCGGTCGGAGTCCGGCCTTCGTCTTCCTGATGAAGGCCGGACTCCGGCCGAAACATCGAAGATTAAATCGTCCGTTGTTGCTGTTTTCACTAAGGGTTTTTCTTCTCAGTTATATATATATATATATATATATATCTTTAGAAAAGGGAAACGAGTCAAGCAACATAAAAAGGTTTGCTTTAAAGGGTCACTCCGGTATATTTTCTCAATTTTAGGACTAAGACTCTTTTCAGTGAAGTAAGTTCCCCAGAATTACGAGTTGCCTAATTTTGTTTTATGCCTCGTGTAGTTTTGTAGACTTCTTATCTCAAAGTTTTGTTTTGAGCGTCTACGGCGAAACCGAAACTTTCGCCTCGAGCATGGTGGTAGCCCTTGTGATCAGCTGTATGGCCATCGCGTGATGTAAAGCTGGTACCTTGGTACAGTAAAACGTACGACTGGCTTAGTCGGAAGAGCAGTTTTGATCAGTCAGGTAATATGCTATTATTGTTTTACTGGTTTGCTTCGTATATGTATAACGTCTGTAACAAGTAATACACGTTCCTAAAGTTGCCGGCCAATGCGAGTTCAATGAACGCAGGCTCAGCGCAGGGTCAGAACAAGCCCCACTTACCGTCTGAAAAGAACTACGATCTTTGCGGTGCGCCATGCACGTTTCAAAAGCGTTATCGAAAATAATCGCAATCTCCCGCGCGGCAGGAAGAGACTATACCTTGTCTCATCCTACGATAGAGTGAAGGCCAAAGCCACGGGCTGCCAGGTCCAATCACGTTCCACTCTATACTATGACGCGCTTAACATTGATTAGGGGTAGACGAAAAATACTCGAATCCAAAAACGCCGCATCAGTTCTATAGCTTCGACGCTGCAAAGAGCCAATACATCGTGGCTTTCTTTACGATGTAAAATTGTTGAGTCACTCAGTGCTCTTCCATTTGATCCACAGTCCACCCGTCCTCTTAGCAGTGATCCGAGACGGGGGCACCGATACGTGCATCAAAACGAAATACCGCACAATTTCTAAGTGGCTCGTGATTGGATCTGGCGGTCCGTAGCTTTTGCCTTTAGTCCATCGTAGGGTAAGACGAAATATAAACTATGGCCGCCAGTGGATGCCACCTTCGGCACCATGAAGCTTGAGCGAGCGGGGAGTTAATAATCTTTGTTCGCGATCGCTGAGGAGCACTTACAAACGGCGGTCCAGAAAGCCGGGGTAACACTGCTTATGCATCATTCAAAGACAGTCTGTATACAGATTTGAACGCGAGTCACTGAGAGATCCGTGCTTCGAATGCCGCATGGCAATGATTTCAAGGAGAAAACTTGGCACGCGGCATTCGAACCGCGGATATTGCGGTGACTCGTGTTTGCAGACTGTTTTCTTCTATTATGCAGGAGCAGTGTGACCCCGACTTACGGCATAACATAACAAGTAGAAATCGTTTGATGGGACGGTTGAAAACACAGCAGAAATACACGGCGAAAGAAATGGCAGTACAAACACATAACCTCCTTCAGTACGATCATGACATCGGGGCACAAGGTTGCTTGAAAAAAGCGAACCCGCTGAATGCCCGCTGACAAGCTAGCACTACCATTTTTAATATCGGTTTTAGAGTGGGTCGCGGCTTCCGATTAGCGTAGTATTTTGGCAGTGCTCTTATTTAAATTCCGTAAATTGATATTCTTCGCTTAGTTTAGTTCGACTTTTGATCAGGGTGAGTCTTTGAAGAGAAGCCGAAAACGTTAATGAAGAAAACGAGTTAGAGGTGAATGCTAGAGTAGTTTTGTCCCGTTAATATGAATATCACGTTCGTTTTAACCGAAGATGTACCTAAATCCGAGATGACACGAAAAACTTCTCACCAATCCTGGATATTTTGGCCGTCAAGCTCGTGTCCTTTGGGTGGACTACACGTGCAATATACCTTTTGCTGAATAACCTTCAAAAAGAATGTCGGGAACGTAGGTGCACGCGCTGCGTACGCTGGCGTCTTTACCTCTAACTGTTAGAAAGCAAAAATCTAAAACAACTGGCACTTCGCACGCGTGTTCCACGGACGCTTAATATTTGTGATTTACTTTTTTTCTTTTTTTTCTTTGTATAGGGTAGGAGAGCACGTGCAGCGCGTGTACCTACGTTCCGAACATTCTCTTGGATGCTTGGGTAATTTAGCAAATGTAAAGCTTGTCAGGTATATTCCACACACAGACACCAGTCGTGACATATTTTTTTACCTTTTTGAAAATAGCAGGAGTGTGCATGCATAGCTTTAATATGCACTGAAGGTACGTGAGAGCGGAGATTTTGAAAACTCCTTTTATGGCGTAACGCTCCTGGAACATGGGGCTTCAGTGCTACATTAAAAATGATTTTCTGCGACTTCCGTGCTCAATATTGAAAAATAGAAATCTCAATATTCATAATCCTGGAGGCCAAATGAATCCCATTTCATTATTTTTACTCAAATAGAGAACCGCTTCAGTTTCCCTTTTGGTACGAGTGAAGAAAGTGTTGTAACTGGCTACAATAGGTATGGAGAGAAGGAAATCCAGAAGCCCAAAGCGTGTTCGTAAGATTTTATACAACAAATCAAACCTCAAGAGCATTTTCCAAAGTCGCTTGAGAACTTTGGGTATTGTACATATGCAAACAACGAAACGATAAAAATGTTCCTTTTGAACGCCATCGTCGCCGTTTATTTTTTATTATTTTTCTTGGGTTTCTGCTTTTTTGGTCATTGACAGACATTTTTTTTATTTACACGCTGATGCAATACAAAACTTTCAACTGTAAGGTTACAAACCTTTTGTAAGAAAACAGTGACGCGAGACAATGACAATTCGTTTTAATACTGATTCATTTATGAAACAACTTGCTAAGCTTATAAAACAACTAGGTCTTATTACAACGGGCTTTCTAATATTGTAATTTTCAATGCATAACTTAGTACGAGATATGTTTATTTCGGTTGTCGGAAAATAAATAAACGGAACTGAAACTGTGTCGCGCGATGCACTTATCAAAATTACTAACGCTGGTGCTTCCCTGTCGTTCTTGCCATCAATAATTAACACAAGTGACCACAAAATTGTCTGTCTGAATGATTTGCGATCAACTAAAGCGATGTGTACACTAGCGTGAGTCAAACCATGAAAACATGCTAATGCGTGTTTGAAAAATGTGTCTTGCGTATATCCCCAATCAACCACCACTAGAGCAACGTGAATAACATCAAATGTCTCATCCGCCAAACACACCCACACACACACACACACCAGATAAATAAAAAGATAATACAAGGGCGTGTCGGACGACCGAATAATTCTAGCATACTGTAATGATTACACCTCACGCTTGCGAGCACTCGGTGGTCTCAGGTACCTGCGTCTTTTCCGCGCCTTTCGCAACAAGCCTACATACAAGCTGGCATACTATCCGTGAACAAGACGCAAAAGCACGGCTTTAGGTACCTGAGCCTCACGTAGACACGCTTCTTATGTTACCTCCCCAACGGGCTGGCCGTTGCCAGCCTCTCCAAGCAGCGGGGCCTCCGCCAGAGTTGTTCCGCACGACCGCTCAGTTGCCCCGGAGAATCTTACCTTCTCTCCGTTGGACGCCGCCTGACCTATCCACCGTTTTTGTCCCCCCGGTTCACGAAATACACATCCTCCAACCCCGAACATCCCATTCTCCCGTTTTTCTTGTATCTCCTTTTCCTCGTCGTTTTTATTTGCTCAATATTGTTATTATTCGCTCATTGTCTGACCTCCGCCACGCCCGAATCCTTTGCGCTAGTAAGTTTTCCAAAGCTTCTCGGGCATTTGCTGACACGCTTCATCATGCCGGGCAGACTTGCTTATTTTCCTCCTCACTCATTCGCTTACACCTTTTCCTATACTCCGTTCAACCCTCAGATGACAGTATGGTCGAAGCTACGTGTTCGTTGGGCAGGCGTCCATCTTTGGCCAAGCGAACTTGCTCCGGCTCATACCCATGGGCGGAGAGGACGGGCTCAGGTAATGAAAGGGACGCGGTCGATTGTTTCGACGAGCGCCTAGCTTCCACCGCACTGCCTGCTTAGGGTTGAAAAGAGCATATTCATTCTTTCTCCTCCTCTCCCGCAGGGGGAAGGGGACCTTTGAGCACGAGCGATTGCACGTTCGAGCTTTTGCGTGAATGAAGAACGCTGCGGCTTTTGTGGGAGACGGGGGAGAACTACGTGAATGCGGGCTTGACTGATTTTACGGTCTCGCTGGCGCTCCTTCCCCGCCGGTTTTCGAATAGGGAGCTCTTCTATGGGCATTCATGCGTCTTGATCGCAAAACAGGAATAAGAAGCGTGTGTGCTGGCGGTGGGGGTGGAGGAGTGGCACTGGTATGGATATTGTAAGCGTACATATGGTCCCGCGTATTTATTGTATATTATTAATTTATGCTGTTTCTTTTCTTTCTTTCTTTTTATTGAGTCAGATGTGATTGTTATTATTCAAGTACTTTTTGCTCTTTAAATTCACGCCATTGGTATGGAAATAATTAGCCGATTTGTGGGCATGCGAACGGAGCTTCGACGAATAAAACACATAAAAATTAATCAGCGGTACTCGAGTCGGACGCTCAGCATTAATTAATTGTCGTGAACTTTCTTAACATTATAACACTTTAAATATTAGAACTGCCTCAATCAGCACACCTTGTTGTACTAGGGCGATTTGTACATTCCCTCATTTTGTGGCTCAAAGGATTACGTGATTTCTATCTTAGTGATTTCAAACTGCGAAAACGTTCTCTCGACACTCTCACTCAATATCAAAAGAACCTTCCAATATTAGATCGCGTGGGCCCGCGCTGATACGGTGAATCTAGCGATTACTAGATTAACCAAATAGGCGGAGTCATGTGGTGAATCTAGGCTAGAGTAGCTGTATATGCTAGCTGCACACGTTAGAGTAACTGTATACGCTCCTCAAGCGAATCATGCGGACTTACTCTAGTGAGGCCGTGCGCTGCTATGGTCTTTTTCGTTTTGTTGAGCACTGTACGTTGGAGGAGGCAAGTTCGGAGACTGGGTCGCGTCCATCACCTGACATATATCTGCCTTACGAAACAAATGACTAATCATGAATGTCGTGCTAAAGTCATTTTAAATTAATAATTGCGACGACTCCTACTTTTGACGGGGGGAGTTTTTTACGGAAAGGAAGTGTAACCCTATTCACAGAGTATTAAGAATTAAAGTTCCCTAACACGTTAACAGGTCGACGTGGTCGTTGCTGTTTGGTGAAGCATGTCACACATAATTGGTCAGACGAGATCTTGCGAGAATAATTTAACTGGAAGTTCCGGCTCAATGCCATCGTGACTCTTTCTGTTCTACAAGCATAAGAAAAAAAATTATTTTCGTTCCTCCCTCTGGCAACGCTGGATATTGGCTTTAACCATAGAGAAGCCAAGTCAGTAAGCGTACCGAACGAAAAAAGTATATAATAGAGTCGGCACGTGTACCTCTGAATCACGAACATTTCAAATGGCATTTATGCCAAATGCCTTTAGACCAGAAGTGACACGACCCGCAATCAAGACTCTATGCGTCACTGTTTCTGCAATTCTTCAAAGATTTTAACTATAAATGTCATTTTTAATGCCCATGAGGCGCGAAATTTATATACCTGTTTTACGGTGGGCATCCCAAAGGCCAATTGAACGAAGATATTCATAGAATCTGGAGACCATCTTGCGGTTTTTACTCTCCGCGTACCCCTACTCTGTGCACTAATTCAGTGAAAGCGTTATGCCCGAAACACAATTGAAATGCCCTGGAAACAAAGGTATAAGTGTACAAATTACACTTAGTAGTTGAGGTAGCAATTTCATCTTATAAGCAAGCTATGTTTTTTTTTTTTGTGTGTGTGTTTGTAGAAGTCGATATAGAAAGTATGTTGTTTGTTAGATTTTAATTCAAAATTACTTTGCGATTTCTTTGACTAGCGTATAGTGGTAAATGTTTCGAATGCAAAGATAAAACAAGAAGTCGTCATTGTCTGTTATTTCTTTATTTTTTTTATCACTTTACCCGATTTTTTGAAAAGTGGTATTGCTCTGTGGTTTTCATATCTATCTGATAATCATTAAAAAAAGTTTAAACATTTTAGTTTAACGTAGCGTGCACAGACTAGAACACTTGCTGTGTTTCAAGACCAATAAAATTGAAACAGCTCTGTTTTTGTTTTTGTTTTTCTCAATCGGCAGCGGAGCGTTTGTTGTATCTCCTGTCTTCACAAAATTGTATGAAGGCGAAGAACGTGCGCCGAAGCCGGATTTTCAGGAAACTTCTTTGCCAGAAGCAAAACTTCGACAAAGGTCTGCAAAATTGTATTCCTTCTGACTTTTTTTTGTTGTTCTGCTGGCCACCCAAAAAAAGAGAACAAGATATTTCACCACCGCTTGTGCTCAACCCGCCAGATACACGGAAATAGTTTCTTGTTCGGTATAAAGAGGGGTCAACAAAGACTGCTGATTTGAGTCAACAGCTTGGCGATAGCGCTTTTTGAGTGCAGAAAGAGTAGAAAAAGTAACAGGGAAGAGCTCGAGAGAAACAGGCTTTCGGTTTCCGGAATTTGCAGCGGCCTCGAATAGAGGCATCACAGATACGGCATCTTCGCGAGGAGAAACTTTCTTATTTGTTCAGAGTGAAAGTATTTAGAGGGCTTCACAAATTCAGTCCGACTGATTTTAAAGGTTCTAGATTCGAGCCAAGAGGGTTAGGTCTTGTCAAAGTGAGGTCCCAGAACAAGTTGATGCCAGGTTAATAGGGACACCTTCAATTTGCATACCCCGCTGTATACCGTATTTACTCGTGTAATAGCCGCACATTTTATGAAGAAAGCCCTTGTGTCTGATTTCCCGCAAAGCAGATATGCAGCCAATCATCGCGTTGCGCATAAATAACACAGCGAATAATCAGATCGAAAACACGATTCTCCATACAATTTCAATCTTCACAGATGCTATCTTCGCGCGAAGACTTTTTCTCTGTCCTGCAAGCCACTGGAATCATGCTGTCAATTGCGGTGATTGGCAATCCTCGCGCTCTACGGAAAAGCGACCCACCAGGTGTTTTTTTTTTTTTTTTTATAAACGGTACGGCCATTATTCAAGTAAATACGGTAGACAATATTCTCAGGAATGAACTTTACAAATGCATAAATTTTGGGCTTGATAAAAAAAGGCCTTCATTACGAACTTTTTTAAAATTTTTAATATTTTTTTTTTTTTTTTTATGGGGAGAGCGTATCTATATAAAACGAGACGTCACCGCATTGTTCGTGCATTATCAATGTAAGCCA